TACATGTCAGGCAATGATGGCACACACCTTTAATCCTATCACTCAGGAGGCAGTGATCTGTCTGGATCTCTGGGAGTTCAAATCCACACTGGGAACAGAGCCAGGTGTGGTAGCACACCCCTTTAATCCATGTACTTGAGAACTCATATCTTTGCTTGGGAAGGACACATGCATTTAATTCCAGGAAGTGATGTCTGGGCAGAGAAAGCTATATAAGGTGTGAGGAAACAGCTAGCTTCTCTGGAGTTGTGGGTTGTAGTCTGGTTTATGTTTACATCTAGTATCAACTTATGAGTGAGTACATACCATTTTGTCTTTATGAGTGTGGGTAACCTTACTCAGGATAACATTTTCTAGTTCCATTTGCCTACAATTTTCATGATGTCATTGTTTTTCTATGATGAGTAGTACTCCCTTTTTCAGTTGAGCAGCATCTAGGTTGTTTTTAGGTTCTGGTTATTAGGAATAATGGTGCTATGAACATAGCTGAGCATGTGTCCTTGTGGCATGATTCAGCATTCCTTGGGTATATGCCCAGGAGTGGTATATCTGGGTGTAGATGTAACCAACCGTCTTATTAAATAAGAAACACAGAACCAATGCAAAGAAGAAAGCCAAGAGGTCAGAGCTAAGAGCTAAAACCTTACCCTTCCTCCTGCGGTGGTCCTACCTCTCCAAACCAGAGCCACTTTCTGTGTGTCTGTCTTTTTATAGTGTTTCTGTTCTGCCTTCTCATTGGTTGTAAACCCAGCCACATGACCACCTTGTCACAACCTGTCTGTCTAGACCTCCAGGTTTTCTACGATTGGTACTGAGATTAAAGGCAGGTGTATCCAATACTGGCTGTATCACTGAACACACAGAGACTTACCTAGCTCTGCCTGCCAAGTTCTGGGATCACAAGTGTACGCCACCACTGCCCTGCTTTTCTATGGCTTGCTAATAGCTCTGACCCCCAGGCAACTTTATTTATTAACATACAAATAACATTTTAATATGAATAAAATATCACCATAGCTGGGTCTTGAGGAAGATTAATTCCCATTTTTCTGAGAAACCACCATACTGATTTCCAATGTGGCTGTACCAGTTTGCACTCCCACCAACAGTGGAGGAGTGGTCCCGTTTCTCTGAATCCTCTCCAACATAAGCTGTTATCAATGTTTTTGATCTTAGCCATTCCAACAGGTGTAAGATGGTATCTCAGAGTCCTTTTAATTTACATTTCCAGGATGACTGGGTATATTGAACAATTACTTAAATGTCTTTCCACTATTTGAGATTCTTCTTTAAGAATTCTCTGTTTAGTTTTGTATCCCATTTGTTAATTGGATTGTTCATTGTTTTGATGTCTAGTTTCTTGAGTTATTTATCTGTTTTGGAAATTAGCCCTCTGTCAGGTGGAGGGTTGGTGATGGTCTTTTCCCATTCTGTAGGCTGCCATTTTGTATTATTTACTGTGTCCTTTGCCTTATAGAAGCTTCTCAGTTTCAAGAGTTCCCATTTATTGATTGTTGCTCTCAGTGTCTGAGCTACTGGTGTTGTATTTAGAAAACTGTGTACTGTGCCAATGCATTCAAGACTATTTCCTAATTTCTCTTCTATCAGGTTCAGTGTATTTGGTTTTATATTGAGGTCTTTGATCCACTTGGACTTGAGTTTTATGCATGAAAATAAATATGGATCTATTTGCAATCTTCTACATGTTGACGTCCAGTTATGACAGTACCATTTGTGGAAGATGCTTTCTTTTTTCTGTTGTACAGTTTTCGCTTCTTTGTCAAAAATCATGTATTCATAGGTGTGTGGCTTAATTTTAGGGTCTTCAATTAAATTACACTGGTGTACATGTCAGATTTTACGCCAATATGAAGCTGTTTTTATTACTACAGCTCCATAGTAGAGCTTGAGGTCAGGAATGGTGATACCTCCAGAGGTGGAATTATTGTACAGGATTTGTTTAGGTATCCTGGGTTTTCTGTTTTTCCAAATGAAGTTGAGTATTGTTCTTTCCAGGTATATGAAGAATTGTGTTTTTGTAGCTGGAGTTATTCCCAGTCCTGCCTGGGCCCACAGTCACTCAGACTCAAGTAAACACACAGAGACTTACATTACTTATATATGGCCATGGCAGGCTTCTTGTTATCTAGTTCTTATATCTTAAATTAACCCATTTCTATAAATCTATACCTTGCCACATGGCTCATGGCTAACCAGTATTCTTACCTTTTACTTCTCATGGCAGTGGCAGCTTGCAGCATCGCCTGACTCAGTCTTCTACATCCCAGAATTCTCCTCTCTGCTTATTTCACCTATACTATACTTCCTGCCTAGCTACTGGCCAATCAGCATTTTATTTATCAATCAATCAGAGCAACACATTCACAGCATAGAGTGATATCCACAGCATGTTGGGATTTTGATGGGGATTGCATTGAATCTGCAGATTGTTTTTGGTAAGATTGCCATTTTTACTATGTTAATTCTACCTATCCAGGAACATGGGAGATCTTTCCATTTTCTGATATCTTCTTCAATTACTTTCTTCATAAACTTAAAGTTCCTTTCATACAGGTCTTTCACTTGCTTAGTTAGAGTTACTCCAATGTATTTTACATTAGTTTTGGCTATTGTAAAGGGTGATATTTCTCTGATTTCTTTCTCAGGCCACTTATCATTTGTATAAAGGAGGGCTACTGATTTTTTTGAGCTAATCTTGTATCCTGCCATATTGCTAAAGGTGTTTATCAGCTCTAGAAGTTCTGTGGTAGAATTTTTGGGGTAACTTATTTATACTATTATATCATCTACAAATATTGAAAGTTTTACTCCTTCCTTTCCAAACTGTATCCTCTTAATCTCCTTTTGTTGCCTTATTGCTCTAGCTAGAATTTCAAGTACTATATTGAATAAATATGGGGAGAGTGGTACCTTGTCTCATTCCTAATTTTAGCTTTGAGTTTCTCTCCATTTAATTTGATGTTGGTTGTGGGCTTACTGTAAATTTCTTTTATTATGTTTAGGTATGTTGCTTATATTTATGACTCTCTAAGACCTTTATCATGAGGGGGTGTTGGATTTAGTCAAAGACCTTTTCATCTAATGAGATAATCACATGTTTTTTTCTTCTTTCAGTTTGTTTATATGGTATATTACATTGACAGATTTTATATGTTGAACTAACCTTGCATCTCTGGGATGAAGCCTATATGATCATGGTAGATTTTTTTTTTAAATAGGTTCTTGTATTCGGTTTGCTAATACTTGACTTAGTATTTTTGCATAAATGTTAATGAGGGAGATTGGTCTGTAATTCTCTTTCTTTGTTACATCTTTCTGTGGTTTGGGTATCAGGGTAACTGTAGCTTCATAAAATGAGTTTGATAATGTTCCTTCTGTTTCTATTGTGTGGAAAAATTTGGAGTATTTTTATTAAGTCTTCTTTGAAAATCTGGTAGAATTCTGTACTGAAACCATCTGGTGTGGTGGGAATCTAATTATACTGAAATGTGATTTTGATTGTATGTTAATAAATAAAGTTGCCCGGGGGTCAGAGCTATTAGAGCCAT